CAGTAAGAGCAGCCATGGCAGAGGCAGTGCCCCCAGCATGTATGGCCTCAGGGTGGGGATGTTTAGCATAACCCTGCTCACTCTGAGCAGGAGGGTGGCTGATTCTGCTCCCGTTGATGCCTGCAGTATTAAACCACCAAAACTGTTGCATGTGTGGAGAGTTTGCCAATATGTAAAGATTTTTTCCGTATTATAATGAAGATTATTACAAAAGGTTTAGAGTCACATTTTGTGTTTTTTTTTTCCTTCCATTTCTTTTTCTATTTCTTTTAGGTATGTTTTGTTATAATTTTTCTCATGGTGTATTCTAACTTCTTTAGTTGCCCCTGCCCACCCACCCCCCTATATTGTAACGCCTAACAGATTCTAATATATATATAATAAATATATTTGTATTTCATTTTTGGTATAGTATTTTTCTATGTTAAAGAATATGTCTGTGTTAGGAAGCATTTAGACTGGCGCAAAGGTATTCAGTTGGTTTCCTAGTTGTTTTTATTTGTCATCACCTTCTTCAGCAAAGTAATTATTTGAACTGGCTGAAATTCAGCAGTGGGTCGGTCTTGTATAAAAGGCAGTATCGGCCTAGAAAAATTGTTAAATATTGTATATGTTGTCTTCCATGTGAATATTACATATAATTCATGAAAAAATTGCCTTTTTTTAATTTATTTTAAGTATAAGTGTTGCTGGCATTCAAAAAAAAAAAAGAAAAAAAATTAAAATTTTATGTTCTTTGAAAGTAGCAGCAAAAATTCCACAAAGTGTTTGTATTTTCCCTACATAGTGAGCCACAACAGTGTCTTTCTCCCCTGAGGCTCAAATTTTACTACAATTCTGTGGGAGGTCTGAGCTATGAATGAAATATCCCTCAGATTTACTTTTTAAAATTTCCTGCCCACATATTTGATCTCCAAAATGTTTCCATGTTTTCATGTGATGGGCTGCATTGTTATTATTTCAGTTTTAGAGATGATTGTCATTGAATAAGGATGTTTTTTGCGTTTGCTCTGTAATTAAGTAAACCGATCATAAGCTGCTGTCAAGCCACAAGAAAATGGGATGACGTTGCCTCTTTGGACACTGATCACGTTAAGATGGATTGGCCTTTCATCTTGTTTTTTTTAAGCGGCAATTGTGAGATGCATTACATGCCAACTACTGACAGATAACAAGAAAAGCCTGGATGTGTTCATCATCTGTCAGTTCGGACTGATTATTCTCACAAAAAAAAAGAAAATTGCCAATTCTAGTGGGCTGTCATCAAACCTGAATGTATAAATGTGTATAGATAAATATGAGCTATGCTTATTCATGAAGTGGTAACTTTTAGCTGTTATTTAGTTTCCAGTGTAAGATACAGGGAATTGCATTTAGAAAGACTGATGGCCATAAGAATGCTTTCTCTTGGACTACGTCTCTCAATGGCTCATTATGGTGTAAAAGGCTACAGTAACAGATCATACAGGTTCCATTTCATAATGCTATCCATGCTAACTTTGTTTTTGATGCTGTTAACGTGATGCCAGTGGTGTACAATAATATTACAGAAAATCTGTTGAACCATACTGATGAGCAGTCACTGTAACATTTAGGCTCTGTGCCTCATACAGGTGCATATTTTTAATTAAATGTGACTTTCTCCTCATGGCTCTTCTCATTCATTCACATTTATCCGTACAGGACTGTAGTCCTCATAGACTTCTTTGAGGTGTTTGTGTAATATTATGATGTAATTCCATAATCTGGACATAAAAACAAAACCTTTTTTTTTTCCATTCAATGAACTTTATCCATAAATGTTATTGTGAACACTACGTTTTCAGTGGCAGTAACTTGCTGTAGAAGCTGAAGAAATGTCCCTGGTCGGATTCTGTTTGACTTCATGTTGTAGTATAATGATCAGTATAATGAAGAACACGTCATTATACTGATTGTATGTTTAACAAATCTCCACTCTTTTCAGTATTTAAATCACAAATATGTGCGATTTTAATAATCCCTGTCTTTGTTATGGGGAAAAAAAATCCTTTAAACTTTAGAGCCTTTCATCATTTTAGTGCCTAAAACCATCTAACGTGGATTAAGCAAATGTCTACTACTGTAGGTGAAATTAAGTGACGGCTGGCAGGGCCTTCAAGGCCATCCATCCATTTTCCGGCACGTTTATCCCAAGTGGGGTTGCGAGGGGTGCCGGTGCTATCTCCAGCCGTCTACAGGCGAGAGGCGGGCTACACCCTGGACAGGTTGCCAGTCCATCGCAGGGCAACACAGAGACAAACAGGACAAGCAACCATTCATGCACACACTCACACCTAAGGAGAATCCAGAGAAGCCAATTAACCTAACAGTCATGTTTTTGGACTGTGGGAAGAAGCAGGATGGAACCCATTTTACAAGGGAACCTTCTTGCTGCAAGCAGTGGCGGCTGGTGAAAAATATTTTTGGTGGGGCTGATATAGCCTAGTGTATGTCTCCAACTAATCCAGAATAAGAATTAAAATAAACAATTGGAAATTAAATACAATTTAACAGTAATGATTT